GCCAGCTGTTCTGAAATTCTATCAAAGTACGCTATCATGCGAGTTGGATAAACGCTCACTGGATGCAATTGAAGGCTACTGGTCTCATATTCACCAGACCTTACTAGCAGCAGGAAAATCCTCATGTCGTATGTCTAATCACCAACATGGACATTGGGTCTCTTCACAGTCTCTGGAACTTATAGATGGTCGCCGGCATATTCCGGCTGGAAGCAAACACAGTGAAACTCGCAAAGAGCTCCGGGCAAAACTCCGTGCTAGCCTGAAGAGAAACCGCGAATCTTGGTGGCCTAATCGTGCATCAGAGATGGAAATGGCCGCTGTCCTTGGTAACCATCGTAAGTTATTCCGTCTGATACGGGAAACGGGCAGCAGGAGACCTGGTGTTAGTGAAACTATACGTGACGAGAATGGACAGCCTATCCACAACTTGTCAAAACGCTTAGAGCGTTGGGCTGAGCACTTTGAAAGGCAATTTAATCGGTCGGAATGGTTAGATTTCTCTCCGGCCACTGATCGCCCTGCTCCGTGGGCTGTCCCTTTGGATCAACCCTCTCGCTCAGAAGTCGAACGTGAGATCGGACTGTCGAAGTTGAACAAAGCCGCGGGACCAGATGATCTTCCTCCAGCCCTCTTCAAATTCGGGGGACCTGCTCTTGTGGATGATTTACACGAGTTACTAGTCAAACTGTGGGAGCGGGAAACTGTCCTAACCGATTGGAGCCGCTCCGTCATAGTCCTAATGTTCAAGGGAGGCTCACGATCGGAATGCGGCAGCCATAGAGGAATCAGTCTGATCTCCATCGCCTCCAAATCGATTGCCTCTGTCATCCTTCAGAGACTGACTGGCACCCGTGAAAGCCAGATTCGTGAAGAGCAAGCTGGATTTCGTCGAGGTCGTGGCTGCATTGACCACATCTTCACCTTGCGTCAGTTGTTGGAGCACCGTCACATATATTGGTGGCCCACTGTAGTCGTGTTCCTCGACATCAAAGGTGCCTTCGATTCGGTGGATCGAGGTTCCCTTTGGAATTGTCTACTCAGGAAAGATGTGCCCGAGAAATGTGTAAATATTATCCGAGCATTGTACGCACGTAGCTTGAACAGAGTGATGGCTTACGGAAAGCTGTCACCACCCTTCAATATCTCCAGCGGTGTGAGACAATGATGCCCGCTGTCACCTTTCCTCTTCAACTTCGCTATTGACGAAGTAATGGAGATTGCAGTTACAGGACATGACTTGGAAGGTGTGGAGCTACTCCCAGGAGAACGACGTCTTGTCTTGGAGTATGCAGACGACATTGCCCTCATCTATGACAGCTCCCAGACGTGCCAAGCCCCGCTGGACAGATTAGCACTGGCTGACAGCCGCTTCGGGCTTTGCTTCGCATCATCGAAATGCAAAGCGCTCCTCCAAGATTGTCAGGGATCGCCCCCTGCGCTGACCCTTGGTGGGGATCAGCTAGAAGTCGTTCGGAGATTCAATTACCTGGGAAGTTGTATCAGCGCCCTTGGGATCGAAGACGAGATCGCGAACCGTATAGAAAAAACTCGAAAACCTGGCCCCTAAAATCGGCTCATATCTGGTGGGAACACCGCGTGAGTAACGAGCGTGTTCGATGCCTTGTTTGCGGCACAGAAAATGGATCTGAACCGCTCAGCACCGTTATTTCACGCACCAAGCTCCGATGACTCGGTCACGTGTTACGCATGCCAGCCCACCGATTCCCTCGACGTGCGTTGTTTGCTCACCTGGGGTGTGGATGGAAAATTAGGAGGGGTGGCCAATCGATGACTTGGTCCAGAGGAATGAAGTCCCTCACTTCGGAGCTGGCCTCGGTTGGATCGTCACGGCCCCCTGGTTGGGGTCCGAAAGACGATGAACACGTTTGGCTGGATAAACTTACCAACGTGGCAAGGAGCCGACTTCAGTGGAGTTCCTGTTGTGAGTTTCTTTGTCCCTCCCCAACCCTTTTAGTCTCGCCCTCCACCTACGATCTCATTTCGTAGCGTAAAACTGACTGACACTCGTGAAAGCAATATTCGTGAACAGCGAGCCGGGTTTCGTCGTGGTCATGGCTGCATTGACCACATCTTCGCTTTGCGTCAGTTGTTGGAGCACCGTCACATATATTGGCGGCTCACCGTTGTGTTCCTCAACATCAAAGGTGCATTCGATTTAGTGGATAGACGTACACTTTGGGACTGTCTACTCGTATGCTGATGATCTTAAACTGTGGCTAGAGGTAACCAAAAATGATGATGCCGACCTGCTACAAACAACGATGGACCGGTTGCACTGCTGGCCAGTGTAGTGACAGCTACCCATTACCCATGCTGTGTTCTGTTTTCCCAATTGGAGCCCCGGACCCCTTTAGTGTTTATCATATTAGGGGCTTCCTGCTCAGGATCGCAGCCTTGGAGAAAGATTTTAAAGTTATTGTTTCCTCAAACCTACGCACGACTCAAGACACCCTAAAGAAAGTTGCCGCTGCTACTACGATGTTCTCTATAAGGTGATCCTTTTCCCAGATGGCTCCAGAGATATTCAGCTTTCACTTCAGCTCTCACGTTCGATCAGTTCTTCAATACGGATTGCCAGTATCCTATCCTCACGAAAGGCGAATGCTTACTGATATAGAAGGTTCAGCGGCGCGAATCGCAATCTGTCATGACACTCCGGAACTTGTCTTACTCTGATCGCCTTCAAAGGATAAACTTGTTCTCCATAGAGTATTGTCGTCACCGTGGTGACTTGATTTACTCGTGATGTATTCTCCGAGGTGAGATGGGGGATAAGATACAAGAGTTCTTTCGTCTTTGTGCGGATTGTTCGACACTAGGCCACGGTATGAAGCTGTTTAAACCAACGACGCTTTGGGTTTGCTCTGATGTCACTTTGTCAACTCGTGTAGTGAATGGCTAGTCGTCAGTGTGCAAACAGCGGAATGTTTCAGACGTTTACTAGACATCTATTTACTGGAAAACCATGGATCTTGCTGTGTTAACTATAACCGCAATGTTTCTTTTGTTAACACTGTGCTGCATCAACTCATATGATCCCTACAGTGAGCGGGAAGTGATGCAACTGACGAAGGATTTCCTTTCCGCTCTCTACAAACCACTGAGGCTATTATTGACTTTCCTGTGATCTCGACTTGTTGCGGAATCTCTCGAACCTAGCACACTGCAATGGCTGATTATGACGCGGGACAGTCAAAACCGCAAGGTAGCTGTCTCGCTGATACCGTCTTATCTTTTTGCACGATAGCCAGCTGTTTGTGACGATATGTTGTCTACATAAGGTGTAGGCGCGTTGACCCTGAATGTTTGCTAGGGCATTACGGTTTTCAGGTAAGTCCCTCTCCTCTCCCTGTTATTATTCCTTGTTTCATAGGACATGGTTGTATGGCAGCGAAGCATCAGTTCAAATGGCTGATGTACTGTTGTTAGTGATGATGACACGGCACTCATCAGTTGTTCTTCCTATCAGCAGGGCGAGACCCACTAGTGCGGCTTTAGGCGCCGAGGACAGCGCCTGTCAACAGGGGGGATAATGTAGCGGGTTCGAGCTTGACCCTACGATGTTCCCTAAGGTTAGAAGGTCGTTGTACCTCACGTAGATGGTCATTGATTCTTATCTTCACATTTGGTTTAGTGTTTTACTAGGTGTTTGTGGTATGAGAATCAAGCCGCCTACGAGGTATTTCCTTTCCATTGCAGCTTCCCACGTCTATTGATTAATTAATTAAAGTTTATTCTCGAATTCATCGAGACACACCAACTCAGGCGATTATGTTTCGCAACAAGTACATTGCTTTGCATGAAATTGGCTGATCTCAAAATGCAGATAAGTTACTGGTAAGGAATAAAATCGTTAGTGATGCGGTGATCGTCTGGATTCCGGAGTGTGTTGTGCAGCGATCATTTGTAAGAGCGTAATAGGTGGAGTGGTGACAGAAGGTACAGACAGAGTATTATTCTTTTAGTATACATATCACAAAATAGTTTAATGTGGCTCCGGTTAACTTGCCATACACGATGGACACGGGAGCCTTCGGAATCCACGACCGGACGCATATTACATATGATCGCGCGCTGTAGCTAGTTCCCTCTATGATACACCAATTCTAATGACATATGTAACTGGATCCCATAAAACATCACTGGCAATTGTTTATCCACCTATTAACCTATTTTTACTTCTGCCATATAATTCTGGCATTTATGGTTGCAAACCGGGATTAACAATGGTTGTTGCCGATACATGTGTGTGATGTGCAATTCACGTTCTCTCAGTGCGATTCTGTCCCACTGGGTATGATGACCGCTGAACTCTACTTATTCTTGTAAGCATGTTGCATCTACTTTTATTGTTTATTCTCCCATACGAAGTGAGACGCAATTACCGGCATTTCCGTTACTATCCACCCATTTTGCCAACGTCATCTAGTCTGGAGGAGATGCAGTAATTTCATGAACCAGTGGCTCACGAAGAACAAGATAAAATTGTAAGACACAAATTGCAGAATCACAGTATTCTTCAGATGCAGTTTGTTGGTAGCGTTTATTTTTGGAAACGCTTGTGGACGCAACGCGGTCTACTCTGTACGTAAACTCCTCACTGGACGTTGTCAATCGTTTTCATTTCTCTGGTGTCGGAATAATTCTGGCTTTTCGACGGACATCCTTGTTTCACACTGTTTTTGAAATTATGTTGGATTCCCTGAATACCGGTCGGCCGGTGGCCGAGTAGTCTGCCCGTCTGCTTTGCAACCAAAAGGTCACCCGTTCGAATCCCCGTAGTGGGTATCATCGCGGTATACTCAGCCCACGCGCGACTGGTGGAGGTTACGTGGCAGCGAAATGCCGTTACGGCATACTGCTGGCGAATTATTATTTCATTTTTACACAGCTAGCATTTTCCCTCTATTCTGCTTTACTGCTCAGTCCGGCTATCTGATAACTCGACTCAAGGACACGGTTTCCCTTTTTTCCAGCCCACTGGTATTACACCCCCAGACACACATTGCCTATGGTCTCTAATCCGGGGAGTGGTTTGGATGATTTGAAGAAGAAACATAGACCCAGAAGTAGTGGCAGAAAAGGGGATAAGAAGCGTTCCAAAGGAGAAAGCTTGCCCCGGAACAATGTCAAGGCTTTTGCTGTGCAACACACCACGAAGGCCGCTCGCCTTGTGCAGAGAACGCTGGACTACCGAACCCGGGGACATCATCTACCTCTTAAAGAGCATGTTGTAGATGCTGCACCCCCAGTTGTTGTCGCTATTGTCGGTCCACCCAAAAGCGGAAAGTCTACACTTTTAAGGAGTTTGGTTAAACACTTTACACATCAGGCCATCAATGTTATCAAGGGCCCTTTGACTGTGGTTGTCGGGAAAAAGATCCGCCTAAGCTTTATCGAATGTGGCTGTGATATTAATAGCATGCTGGATGCTGCCAAGATTGCTGATGTTGTGCTGATGATGGTCAACGTGCGAGCCGGTTTGGAGATGTACCACTTCGAGTTTATTAACATTATGCAAGTTCATGGCCTACCTCGAATCGTACCGGTCCTGAATCACCTGGACACTTACAAGGACTCTAGCTCGTCTAGAGCTATACGGCGTAAAATCAAACAACGGCTTTGGGTTGACCTCAACTCGAAAATCTTTCTGTTGACGCGATTTCAGCCAAAACGTTGTGAGTACTACCTTTCGTTACTCGATATCTTCGGCATGCACCCGGCTTTGAGTTACCTTTATTCAGTGTATTATTCTGATGTATATGCTTCATACTGATTTTGCTTAATACTTAGTATTATCCTTATATCACCGCACTGTTTTTGTATATTGCATTTGAACGTACGTTGTCAAATCTGGCTTCTTATTCTCCACGGCTGTTGACCACTTTACTCACGCGCGCGTGTTCTAGTGCCACTTAGAAATTAGATGGTGTCCGCGATGTCGCGTGGCATTTGTTTAAAGCCTCAAGGTAGATCGATGATGTTGCTGATCAACGAGTTCATTCGGGATGAAGGAGGATGGTTTCATTTTGAAAAGGCGTCTCAGGTCCAGAGATGGCCTCTGTGAGGTGTCCATTATATAAGGGAAACAATAGTTGCTCTCTCAAACACGTCTACTTGGGCGTTCCCTGAAACGTTTTACTGTGCCGCCACTCCTTGCTGGTACTCCTGAGCCACCTGGGACATTGACCTCAACATTTTCTTTGAGTGAGGTCCTACATGTACCGGTATCACTGTAGTAAAACATGCTCGCCTCCCTTACAACCCCATCGTTGTTGAAAGAGTAGCTTTCGCAGACGTTTTGCATAGCCTCTACTCGACGCTGTTTGCCACAATGAGTAGGTGCTTTCAGGCTCATGATCAGCTGCTATTCCTGTTATTTATTTGGATTGACCACTGACCTGGACATTTCGATTGCCTAATGCCGAGCAGTTCAGTATGTTGCTCACATCCCCACGGTGTTAAGTGCCAGTACAGGACTAGGCCAGCGCAAAATCATATTTCTATATCGCCAACTGACATCATCATCATCATCATACCACACGTTAGCTGGAGGTGGGGAACACCTCAGCTACTGTGCCGCCAACTGACACTTAACTTAGCCAGTTTGCTCTTCCCGACAACCTAAAGTTTAGTTTTCTTGTAAATAGGACCCATCTGACCTTTCGGAGAGGTATTCACCTCTGTCGATTGCGAAATATCACCTCAACACCGTGTGCAGCGCATCGCCATTACTAACGTTACCGCATATACTATTTATGTCATCGTTGCACGTCGCTGATGCATTGGTCTGCGTACTACCGTAATTCTTTAATCAACACCGGGAGCGCTTTTTATTTTACTTTATCTCAGACAGACCCGTGGATGGAGGTCGTACGACTTGACCTTCTAACGCCTGATGTTAGATCGAAAAAGTCTGATTGCCTCCTCTCATAGCTCAGACATAGGAAGCAGCAGTATGCTTGTATTAAGCTCAGACCGATTAGTACAGGTTGTCTGCTAGTAATTGATCTCAGAAAACTGCGACCGCTGGTCACTGGTTTGCTGCCACCTGTATCCGGCTAGACAGCCTCTGATCAAATAAGTACAAACCCACCAGGACTCATCTTCCATTGACCGTCTTGGTAGCTGTATACTAGTTCTGATTCCTCAAGAAATGTGTATGGCCAACCTCAAGCAGATCCCAGTAAGACTCTCCGATCACACTCCCTACTGCCTTGTGGGTTAGGCTGTTGAACCAAATGTCTTGAGTGGAATCCCTGCAATAGAACACCGTTTAGCCCTCTGCTTCGCAGCTGAAATCACTGAGTCGGACGGCCTTCCTTAACATGTTTTCTGACGCTGATGCTATACCTCGTTACGGAGCTAACAGATTATCCCCGTAGTCCAGTGACCTGGGCTAGTTGAAAGAGCCTGCGATTGTTGTCCGTCTCTACTACCAGACCGTGTCAGCTTGCGGACTCCGTATTCTCCTGCACCTAAAGCCAGCTAGTGACGTTGTTCCCAGTGCCACCAGAAACTCCTCTGAATTCAATTATATTCCTCGCTTTTTCGTACATTTAGTGTGCGCCTCCGTAACCACTGATAGTACCGCGAGCAAAGAGTCCAGCGTCACGGAGAGAAGCAGGAATATTTTTCATTCCGAACACTTCGTCTTCAGAACATCCTCGTGGGTGCGCCTACCTTTGAATTGAAGTAGATTCTCGGTTTCCATTCGATGGAATTGTTTGCTGTGCTTACCTGGTAATTTTCATAGATAATCAGGGACGGAACAAGATGTTGTCAGTGCCGGAGCACTTGCTGCAAAATTCAGGGACGTAAGCGCGTTTCCTGAACCTTATAGCATGTGACCTATTTAAGTACTTTGCTAGCTAATTGCCAGTAGACACCAAGTAGCGCATCGGTACACAGTTGGCATGAACCTTCGCTATTGTCTTTGTGTGGAACCAAATCCAAACACCCTGAATAAATGACCTTCGTAGGAGCTTAGACGGTCTACTCTTGCGTTTATTTTTCTAGCAACTGGATTTATATCTGAGCTGATACCACTGTCGTATCTATAGTATTGTCTTTAGGTTTATTGGCACCCCAGTAGTTTTGAGTACGGGCGTTAACCACGAACAAACAACACAAATCGCTCCCTAGTGCCCTAACCCTGGTTGACCGAACCAAATGGTCCACATATGGACGATTGTTCCCCATAATTCGGTCAATCAACGAAGATTCAGTCCTGAGGCTGACGAAACGGATTCTGGCTTGAACTTTGCTTGTTGCGGCTCACGTGCACAATCAGTACTGACGGGACAAGTTGTGCTCTGTTGTTCCGATATCTGCGTGCGAGTCGTAGCTTCTGGTTTCAAATACACACCACACTTGAGCATCAGTAGCATCCACAGTGTGCAGGTGAAGCCTTTTTAACCTATGTGCCTCAGGATGAGGATGTTAATCGTGGCTATGACCTAGAAACATGATCTGTTGTGAAGCACCTGTTAGTGGGGGAATGTTGAGCACAGTGCTAACCTGGATGCAGATGACGAAACTTCTGTGATACTGCGATTGTCACCGCTTACATCACGGACTGCAAACTGATGGCCCTCGACTATAAAAACGAGATAAGTTATGAGGTAAGGTGAAGAGCGGTAAGTGAAGCAGCAGCACCAGCAGCAGCTGGTTTCTGCTTTTTCTTCTTACTGAAGGCAGCAGACAAGGTGGCCCTTTTTAACCCAACGTCAGTCCATGTTAGCTTAGTTTAGCGTCTGATGGAGAAATAATTCTTACCTATAGACCCTGGCATTGCTAATAGAATACATATTCTAGTTAGGAAACTGGCTAGAATCTTCAGCTAAAGCTTTTGACTCAAAACGCCATCTGCAATGTAGTGGGACTGAAACAACGACCTCTCATTATTATTCTTTTCCACCTAGACGAATGCCGCCACTATTTGTACTCTTAATCTATGGGACTAAAGGATATCCTTTCTGTGGATTCTCTTGATCATTAGAGTAATACTAACCATCAAGGCCCGTTAGTTACCGCTGACTAATGCACTCTGTATCCGAGAAGGACACATTTCTCCGCACGTCGATAGCATCCATCATCGTTACTTCTCACTACTTGTCTTAGTGATAACTTCTGCTCCGAGGCTCCAGTCCATACGGATTACGGTGCATGCTCGACCTGATATTCCTTCATGGTTCCGACTTGAGTTCTAAATTTTTCTTTATACCATGTTCCAAACATTTATTTAGGGTTTTTATCAAATCACATGCTTATGCTCTAATCTGCAGATCCTACGTACGAAGTGGCGGCCAATAAATATAGCAAGCCTGGTGAATATCTTCTGGCAGAAGTGAGACGTTTGGCTCGGATGATTGTAGTGAAGATACCGCGCCTGACGGACTGGCGTACTTCTCATCCTTATCTTCTGATCGATCGCTTGGAGGACATCACCGACTCTTCCTTGGTTGCGGCCTCGCCTGAAGTTGATCGTTCCATCAGCATGTATGGTTGGGTTCGCGGGGCGCCTATTCCTCCTGCCCTCACATCACCTGGAGTGCACATCGCTGGTCTAGGTGACTTTACTCTCGCTGACTGCATGCGCCAACCGGATCCGTGCCCTTTGCCAAGTCAGTTGTCCAAAATGGAGGAAGGAAAAGCTAGAGGAAAAACCAACAGACATCTTGCAGAACGCGATCGGAAGGTGAACTGATGCTTTGTAATTATTATTCACCAAGCATGTCACGGTGTTATACTACTAGTATGTTCAGTTTTGGACGGTACGACGGCTCAACTACATTCATTTGTTCTCGCATTTGCCACGAGTAGACTGGTATTGCTGTATTAGGCTTGTCGTTGTTGACGGTAGTATTGATGATCGTAACTATCCCCAACCGTCCACTTGTTTGTTCCAAATCCCGCATCCATCAGTGCGCTTACTGATCGTACAAACCGACACATCAACCTGAACCTTGCATCTTCACAACCAGCGATTTCACTCGATTTAACTGCAGTATTTTGATGTCTTAAGCAGTTTAGATCACATTTTGACCGGAATTCGGTTCATTGACTTTCCACTGACGCAACATACCGCTTGTTCAACAGCACGTTCGCCAACTTTTTCCATCCCGGTTGGACTGATCCTTCACATAGTGTAATGATTTTCATCCGTCTGTGGCGCATTAAACCGGACTGTGACACCTCTAGTTTGCCTTCGGAGGTAGATGTACTAACGAAATCATACAAGACTGGTCTACACATCCTCCTCATCAATAGTTTGGGTGACGTAAGTGACCTCTCCACGCCTCAATCTCATGACGGATATACTTTACAGATTATTGGCTCAGATTTACCGATTTGAACTACGGATGCCGGTGTTTGTCTCTCATGATGGTGTGGTACACGTTTCGTTCACCAAATTCTCATCGTTCGGCTCGGATGGAGGTTCTTTCTGGCCATCAGTATGCAAACCCCCGAAGCTTTAGTGAAACGCAGTCGAAGCCACATTGTGGTGTATTTTTTATCATGCGTATAATCAGCCCCAAGTTGTATCACACCGAACCTTACAGTTCCAGTTTCAAGTTAAACCAATTTTACATCACCTCGAGACACATCTCCAAATCAATGTCTGCTGGTGAATGCACTGAGTTCCATCCCCATTTTCGACTATCATTACGTGAAGGGCCCAAACGGGGTTAGCCAAGAAGAAAATCGGTGGTGATGTCGAACAGCACTGAGACTGTTTCGGCACTTTAGGTTGGTTTGTCAGTGGGGATTAAGTCGCTAACCGTTAGAGCCTAGATGGATTTTCGGAACCTCGTTTACATACGAAGATGGATCCAATGTTTTGGAGGGCGCTTTGAATCGATCGGGATGTCATTGTTTCAAGTGGTTTTGTGATCGATCTGTTAATATGTTTTTCGGGCGACCTTTCGCTTTGACACAAAAGCCTACCTGAGGAATATTTTGTGCCAACAAATACACTAGGCGGTTGTTCACAAAGTCGTTAACTTATTCTTTGAATGGGCAATTTGCAACGCTTCATGCACTTATGTTACCGTGTGGATCAAGAACGGTCATCGCTCTTTGAGTGCATTAGAAGGCTGGTCGTCTTTGGTCATTGACGCAAGGCCGTCTAGCTACTAGTGCAACTAGTTTTATTTTGGTCACAATCTTTCCGCTAAAGCAATGATACATTTTTTACACTAATCGTCTGTGCTCACTGGGTAATGTTCTTATCATGCAGACTAACTGGTCTTCAGAAGTTATTATCCTGCACTCACTTTGTAAGGTAAGGCACCATTGTGACTATTCGCTTACCTGAAACACTCACGCGGGTATGTGCTTTCTTCCTAGATGGACAACTATTTTACCACATTGATTTGCTTTGCCATCCGGCACACTTTCAGTGGCTGTACCCACGGACGTCTCGGCTTTTTGGATCAGCGTGTGCTGGATACTACTTTTGCTTCAGATTATTGTGTTATCAGCGTTTTATCTGTGTGAATTGTGCACCAATATTCTTCTTTTGGCGTATTTTCCAAGCGATGCAAATTTGGGGCTATTCTTTGGCTACTTCCGGAGATCTCATTGATTTGCCCTACTGCCATCTCTGTCCGCCATCTTGGATTTGCTATAGCTTGTGATGCCGTCTCAATCTACTTGTGGTTCGTGTTCGAAAGTTGTGGGAAATAAGGTTCATACACTTCGGTGCTTCGGCTGTGATGTTTTGTTCCATATTTCGTGCATTGGCTTATCCTTTGACGTGTTTCAAAAATCGTTGGACCTCCGCCATCGGTTTTTTCAAGTTATACGTGATAATCGTCGCGGTACAAGCGAACAGAATACGCAGCGACCGCAATCCACTACGGGAAACGCTCTCTTTCAGATAGCAACAAACCGTTCACCACGTGGGATCAAACGCCCTCGTGAAAGGTCCTCTGTCACCTCGCCTTCTCTTGTCACTCCGCGATCTGCACCACCACCAGCATCTTCGATCCCAGCCGAGCCCCAGGTTCAATGTTCCCAACTGATGGAAGACTCAGACTCGGAAGCTACGAAATGCCGCTTCACTGATTGGTCCGCGAATTTCTCAGAGCCTGTCTGTGAACAATTGAACACCGAGGGTCCATGAACCACACAAAAGCGCAAGGGGCCAGGTAATCGAGTTCAGGCGTTCCCTGCTGATAAACAACTACTCAATCAGATAAGCGCCTCTGGTTCTGCTCCCACAGGTTCATCACTGATTTCGCTGAGGCGTCATAATCTCCTGGTCTTCCACGTACCAGAGTGCAAAAATGCAAACCCTCAGATACGTTATGATCATGATATTGAGTTCCTCCAGAGGCTCATCGATAGACTCTTGGATGTGGGCGAAGACAGTGTGACGATTAAACAAGTAATCCGACTTGGCCAGAAAACTAACCAGTCATGTCCACCTCTGAGAATCACCTTTGAAAATCCCAATATGCCGCAGCTGATACCGTCTCGTCTGTCAAGGCTGAAAGGCAAAAAATTTCACATCCGCCGAGACTTGAAACCCGAAGACAGGGATCGTTTGAAGACTGCGGCCATTGAGCTCAAACGCCGTACAGAGAAAGGTGAGACTGACTTACAAATTGTAAATTTTCAGGTGGTCAAGAAGGGTGTACGAACCCGTATCAACCGGTTGCTCAACCTCCAGGCATGTCCCGCAATACCTCCCAGGACCTCCGTGTGGCATTCGCCAACTTGTGCAGCCTAATGAACAAATGTGACGAACTGTGCCGCTTCGCTGTCTCAGAGCGGCCGGACGTTTTAGGACTTGAAGTGACTTGGCTGAACCCCGATGTCATACCCCAAGAAGTCGTGTTGTCAGGATACTCTTGTTTCCGATGCGACCGAAAATCAAAGACTCACGGTGGTGTTCTGTTGTCCATAAAATCGTCACTATCTGGCAAACTTACCAGCACCTATCGGAACGAGGATAGTTTATGCGAGCAAGTGTGGTGCACAACCCGCCTTACTCGCGCAGAACCAATAGTGGGAGTTATCTACCGGAGCCCATTAAACCGTTGTTGCGATTGGCTACCACATGTACAGAAGCACATGAGCCGCCCTCAGTTCTTACTGATGGGAGATCTAAATTTACCTAAGATATTTTGGCCAGACGTTCGACTTCTTCCCGGTCATGGCAACGTTGAGGTTCAATTCGCTAAAATGACCATTGAAATCGGGGCAACGCAACATGTCATCCAACCGACGCGCGTAACCGCACTCGGCATCTTGTCTAGACCTAATGTTTACGAGCTGCGAGCAGAAGCTGAACGAGATCAGAGTCATCGAACCTCTGGCGAACAGTGACCACTGCTCCATTTTGGCAAGCTTAGAACTGTCTTTACCAAATTACAATCAACAGAAGCCGACGTTCAACTATTGGAAGACGGACTTAAACGGGCTCGTCCAAGCCGCAAGTCAGACTGATTGGACACTACCACAGGATGCGTCACTTGAGGCCTGTTGTTCATTACTGAAGGGATGCTTAACGCTGTGTACTCGGTTCGTTCCCTTTAAGTATTCAAAAATCTGACCTGTTAAACCGCATTGGCTTGATACGGAATATAGACAGTTAGTGCGACGGCGTCGTAAACTTTGGGATAGATACATCAGCTCGGGTTATGATGAAGATTACTCGATGTACAAGAAACAGCGTAACTTACGTAACGCCGCAAAGATCAAGAAACGCCGGCAGTTCGAAGAGGAACTAGCATCCTCGGCCACAACTGCAACCAAAAGAATATGTGCCTACTTGAAACGTCAACTGAAACCTGGGGACGACCTACCGGTCTTAGAGAGCTTGGACGAAAAGACGCCCATTTCAAGCGCGGGGCGCGTGGACGCCTTGGCTACGCACTTCCTCACTGTATTTTCCAGTAAACCGGCGGCGGTTTCACTCCCTGCACAGGTTGCGCAAGTCGCGCTCGACAGCCTACAATGTGATGCAGTCGAAGTGTATCAGCTACTCGTCAATCTCGATAGTGCAAAGCCTCCCGGACCTGACGAACTTCACCCACTAATACTCAAGTCCCTATTGATTATCATTTCACCAGCTGTGACAAACCTATTCAATAAATCACTCTCTGAAGGATCTGTCCTGAACGACTGGAAATGCTCGATAGTGAGACCGCTTCCCAAGGGTGGTGATCCGAGTAAAATAGAGAATTATAGACCGATCTGTTTGACTTCGGTACTATCCAGAGTTCTCGAGAAGGTTGTGAAAGTGTCTGCTGTCGTTCTTCGAATCGATGGATGTGTTGACGCCAGCGCAACACGGCTTTACGAAAGGGCAATCCTGCATCATCAACTTGATGTCCGCAAACCACCCGTGGGTACGAGCTCTCAATGAACAGAAGGATGTTGACGTGGTGTACATCGACTTTTGACAGTGAACCATGAGTTTACTCCTTCGTAAACTGAGGACATACGGAATCGGTGGCACGTTACTTCAGTGGTTACACGAGTTTATTGTGGGACGAAAGTTTAGAGTACAGGTCAAGGGCTACCTGACAGACTGGTTCCCATCGACCATTGGCGTGCCTCAAGGAACTGTACTTGGGCCAGTATTATTTCTAATTCATATCAACGATCTTCCGCAGCAGCTCCAGTCACCATGTGCCCTGTTTGCAGATGATTTGAAAATCTGGAGGATCATCGAGAACCAGGACGACTGCGCTCGCCTCCAGCATGACTTAGAGCGACTGTCAACGTGGTCCACTGAAATGCAACTCTCTGTTAACGCAAGCAAATCGGAGTTCATCGGTATCACCAGACGTCCAGCCGCTTGATCACACACCTTGGACGACCAGTTACTCCATGTCAACACATCTGTCAGAGACTTAGGAGTTCTCTCACGACATGATTTAAGATCACTAGAAAATACAGAGAAATTGTACCGTGCGGGACTTCGTATGCTCTGGGCATTAAGACGCAGTTTCTCCACTTAGTCAGAAGTAACCGTCCCTCGTCTATTCACCTCGCTCATTAGGCCAATTCTTGAATACGGTACCTCAACTTACCATCCGATTACCCAGTGAAAAGCTGAAAAGCTGGAGAAAATACAGCATATCGCAACTAGAATGATACCGAGTCTACGAAAGATTCCGTATGAAAAACGTTGTGAAAGACTCGGACTCTACACATTATCCTACCGCAGAGTAAGAACTGACCAATTATGACTCATCGAGTACTACACTTGAATCACTTCCCCATACTGCGGTCAATATTTTACCTGCGGGAATCCTTTAACACCCGAGGACACCGTTACAAACTCAGGGTTCCCAGCATGAACAAAGTATCACATCAGCTTTGTATCGAACGAAAAATCGTAAACTTATGGAATACACTGTCAAAGGTATTAATAGAGGCTGATTCTGTGATGTGTTTTAAAACCCGTATCGACGATTATTTCGGAAACCTGTACTTTTGTGAATCGGTGCACATACAATGCCAAAAGAAGACATCGTATGCCCGGAAATTATGACACTAGTACAAATTCCTAACCAAATAAGGATAAACGATTAACGAACCAGACAACTGCTGATGATTCACAACTAAATGTTTGATTTTTCGTAATTTGATGGAGTTGTACAGAAACCTTTCTACTTGCTCTTAAATACAGTCTCAATCTCCTTCACGCCTCTTTATGCGCACACAAGACGGTGGCTGGACCGTAGTCCGTTCAAAATTGAGTGCATGGAACCCCTCTCCGAGTCTAGCACGGCCACAACGACCATCCACTGCATCTTCCCCAGTAACGACCAACTGTATCCTAGAGCCACCATGGACGAGGTAGTGGGTAATACAGGTAGGCACCTTGTCAACACGCACATCAATCGTAACCACACCAGGGATGTCAACCAACTGCTGATCACTTGAGACGACGATTACAAATAAAATAAATCGAATAACACATACAGATGTGCTGACATAACTCTCCACTAAATGAGCATATGAAATAAATTGGTTACCAACAAATCCGCGATAGGTTCAAGACGTCAAAAAATATACTTAAATGCCACAAACGAGAAAATGTCATTGATTACCTAGAGATTGCTTAAGCTACGTGTGCAAGTTAATAGAAGTTAGTTCAGGTGGACATTAATATGGGATAAAAAAAGCATTAGGACAATATAGCAAACCCACCACCTGAACTAAAGAAACGGCACGTAAGCACGCGGTTAGTAAATCGATTGCAGTGTACCTACCAACGCTGCGCCGGTTCTGTTTACGTTCTCTTCTGGACCCATCGTCTTTTTGATGCTGGTTAGTCGGTAACACAACTGTATGTTCAACCCTCCTGTACGCTTGCTAAGTATGGCCCATCAGGTCGACAAACGTAAAGAGGCCGTTTGCGTCCAACCACCGCTTCCTTCGAAGCTTATATCTGGTGGGAACCGGGTGTAATGTGCATCTTTGGCTTCTTGTTTAGGGCAGAAGAAGAGGAAGTGAACCGCACAGCACCATTATTTCACGCACCATGCTCCGATGATTAGGCCACGTGTAGCACATGCCAGCCCACCGACTACTGCGACGTGCATTGTCTGCGTGACTGGGGTCTTCTTGGAAGAAAAATCGATCAAGCCAATCGATGGGTTGATGAAGATGAATGAAGTCACTTACTTCAAAGTTGGCTTCGGTTGTTGCATCCAGTCTCCAGGGTTAGGGCCTAAGATACACTTGTTTACATGGCAGCTGTGTTGTGAGTTTCTTTGTCCCTCCAACCGCTTGGCCTACCCTGCAACCACCATCTCGTTGCCGACGTAATCATATACTTTCTTTGTATTACAACACTGTAGCTGAGGTGCTTCTCACTTCTAGCTGACATATATAATGATGATTATAGTGTTTTTTGACTTAGTGGTGTGAGCCAAGAGAACTGCATCCATTGCATTTCGATGTTTGTGTCCCAGTCACTTTACTGAATTGTTTGATTTTTCTGTTCTACCCCGTATCGATCGTTTACTGGCTTGTCTATCATTCGGGATATCAACAACAAGGAGGGCAACGAGACTATATCTTGTTTTCGAGCTTGGAAATTTGCTTGCAGTTATTTCATCACCAATCGAAGTGATATCAGTACGCCACCTGATAGACCGCACTGTCGCGGCTGCTTTGTGTGATATCATCTATTTATTGCAACTATGGTTACTCGCATAACCATAAGTAGTACACGCATATTTCAATTTACCACCCTCACTGGTGTACTCAGCGCTGCGTTGAACGTGCAACACCTAGCGCTTGAGTACTTCAGCTACGATCCCTGAGAGCGAACCAAGTTTCATTTTGAAGTGAATCGCAGTCAAGCTTTGCATTGCGGTCCGTTAGCCTAACTGTCATTCGGAACGAACCAGTAATGGTGCAAATAAAAAATTTACTACATCTAAATTGTTAGACGCCCACCACACACCTAGAAAAACGCTGTACGGCTGTTTCATCCTTTCGGGAATCGTCAACAGTGCGCATTTTATCTGATCCATCTGGGGCTAAAATCCGCAACCCGATGGTTACGAGTCTGTGATGATAACCTCTGGGCTACAGTGGACGGTAACGACTGAGGTGATTGTCACTTGATATAGCGCCACCCACCATCCATTGACTTGGCTATGACTTCCATGCAACGATCTCGCTGAGCAACGAACTTACCAAACTTAAGTCACAGAGCAACTTTTGGCACTATAAGCAGTTTGGTTTCTATTGATTTCAACGATGAAATCACGACCATTCACCGCTTTTCCGCATGTGTGATGACTGACTGCGTTTAGATGTGCTGCTTTTCTATTTATACTATTCGAATCCCCTTTATATTCCCTTGTTAACAAGTAATGGTATATCCTGTTTCCGCTTTGTAGATTTACGCTCCAATGTCCAGTCTTGGAGGAGTGCTCTTCGATCGTGATGCCACCTACATTGATTTGGGTGGCAGTCACTATTTGTCCAACCGTACCAAAAATGGGAAGAGCCTACCCGTGTCTAAGATGGCTACGCAGACTGCACTGGACGAAGTACACTTCATGTTAAACGAAGCTGGTGGAATCGACCAGCAGTTGGATACGGAGTATCGCGTTCGTATGTTAAAGGACGCCCCCTACCTCACCTCTGGGGATGTAAACGACGACGCTGATATAGACGAATTAATGAACTCTGAATCCAAAGCGGACCAGACAGATGACGTGAACACTAATGCTGATTATGCTGGAGAACCAGATATTCCATCGGCCACCGATGCGCGAATTTTTTCAGACCGGCTAGTTGCTGGTTTTCTTGTTCCCGCAGACTCTCAGCCAGTCGAAAAGCCGAAAGTCACTGCGAAACAGCGCAGCTCGTCACAGGCTGTACATCTTGAAATCAAAGAGGTGTTGGATGGTACGTTTGTCCTTGGTTTAGTTTGAATGCCACTACATATGCTGTTATTGCACCTCCGACTCGGTACTCAATATGGCTACTTACCACCTATGTAGTCTCTGTTATCTGCTTATCCACTTGAAACCAGTGTGTCCAGTATGCTCGCTACCCTCCATGCTTGAGACACTTAACCAACACCGTTTTGAACACAACAAATCCACCATAATCCGTTCATTTCCTTTGCACAAGTCACTGACAGCTGAGCCCCACTCTTTATTTCTTGAGTTAGCTGATCCTTAGCAGAGTTGGTCCACCTTTGTTTCTTTCTCTGTTGTAAACGAAGTATGATTCAATTGGTTAAACCCGGCATGATTTCCTTACTTGATTTGATTGTCATTTGATGAATCAAATACTGTATTTGATGGCTGTATCTGTTCCATAACTCGCTTGTCACTGTGGCTATTACTAACTGTGTGACCGCTGCGCCTGCACAGAGGCCATGGTTGTCCTGTCCTGCACAACCCACAGCTTCGTTCACGCGTTCCGTTTCCATTGCAAACAAAAATAAAGCACACAACTGGGACCCACGATTGACCCAGAGTCAGCTCACACGTATCTCTGGGTAAGATTAGTAAACTTTGCACAGAAAGTATACTTGTTGTGGTGGCCGAGGCGTTGCTCGTTCTATGCATTCTATCCTCTGGCAGGCAGCCTGCTGACCCGCACCGGTCACAGCCATATGTGTTGGGTCACACACGAATAGACGTCGACGATGTGATAGCATACGTTTAGATGTACAAGTTTGACATAAATGCGATGCGGTTGCCCAGGGATTGCCATAGTCCTGGTACAGCTTGTTAATAAAGGCTGAAAGTTACGCTAACGATCAGCTACTTGATTCATTCATCGTGATCACATTGCTGACTCCCCAGGCCAGTTTGGCGCACATCTCATCTGCTTCAGTACTAAGACAATGAGAATCATTTTCTCGTATCATTTTGCAAGTCATCTGTGCATCAGGTGCTTTTGTTCCCTATGCATCAGTCGTTTTTGTCTACTGAGCCGACCGTCATCTCATCCCATCACCTGAATTCTATATTAGCGCATGACATTCCTTCTTTGCTCGTGTACGCTTTTTATACATTTCTGTTCCATGCACACGATTGATCATGTAGCAAATGCCTCAGTATTCTGTTTTCATCCATTTGTCGGACAAAACCAACTCGTCTGGGATGTTGCGGAACGGTCCATTCTGTGCTCTCGCTTTCTAATTGCCTCAGCTTCTAGTGCTCTCTGCAAACATGCTTGTCTCTCCACAGCACATGCACCTCGTGTACTTCACACTGTCTCACTGTGTTATAGCCAATTTGGTGGTCGTGGCCACTCGGTGGGTGTTCACAGGTAACAACATTACATCCAGAGGAAATAGAATGCTCGTCAACATCAGGCCACAAGTGACTCAGTGAGTGCAAACTGTCAGAGTTCTAAGTGGAGACAAGCAACGTTTGCTCACACCGTGCGACTCTGCCAGACACTGTCGTTGCTATAACTAAGTGGAAATTGTCGCCCATCCATCGGCACGGACAGATGATCACAAAGAGCGAAATTGGCCATGGTACCAGGACAGCACATGGTTGTTTCGTGTATGACAATAGCGGACTTGTCTGAGACAAACGCGAAAGAACATCACTGTCACCCAGACGTCCGCCTGCTTAGGCGGTTGTATGTTGCATAATCGACACTGCATTCGCTTGCTGCAGTGGTTGCGTTCCCAAGCGAGTAGGTGTAACCTTGATCAGCCACTCGCGCCTGACTACCGTATTAAACGACTTCCGTGACGATCATTATGATGTGTCAAATTTGTACTGGCCCTTGTTTTTCTCGATGAATATACACGCATTCCGGGTCCAAAGTCGAAGCTCACTTTACTAAGGCTGGCGTTTTCACTGAGTGACTGTTGAGGCACGTACGTGGACGGGGAATTGAAATTGGGGTCGATGTGATAGATCCGAAAACATAGAAACTGGGAGGTGCCGATGTGAGTTCACGTTGACTGTGCAGTTCAGTTGAATAACTTTGATCCGAGCACCTAAGTGCACTTAATCCGGTTGCCACTACTGACACTGTCGAACAAAATAAATAACAACAAGGAAATGCAACTAGAATACAAAGCAAATGGAATCAAGGGTTTGCGTAAAACTAAATAGCATACAATGTAAATTAACAGCTAGATGCAAGAAATCGAATGTAGGAATGCCGCTGACTACACGACTACACCATGTCTTATGCAGTCTCTAACCACTGGTATGGACCATCCCACAGCCCCCATCCACGAAGACGGCATGTACCAGCCTGATCAGGTACGAGCGATTCTGCTGTACGGCTGTGAGACTTGGCCCGTTCGCAAAAGCGATGTTCAGCGATTATCTGTCTTCCATCAATGCTGCCTGTGAAGCATTGCTAGTGTTCGTTGGCAGCATCACATCAGTAATGAGAAAGTCCGTCGGCGAGTCTTCAGATCTAACGCACTCCGCCGACCGATTGTAGCATCATTTCACTGCGGAGGCTTCGCTAACTTAGGCATGTGCTCCGCATGCTTACTCAGCGGCTACCATGAGGAGCCCTATTTGCGAGCACTGGCGTGGGGTGGAAGCGACGAAAAGGTAGCCAACGTACAACTTGGATCCAATGCGTTAATCCACAAACGTTGAAGCTGGCGATTGTTGGGCGTTCCTGACTCCCGGGTTGGGGCCCCGGGCACATCTGGTTGCAAACACTGGAGGATATGGCCAACGACGGTACGCAGTGGCGCACTTGCTGTGAGACTCTTCTACGCTAACAGTTGTTTTCCCTGTCAATTTACTTTTATGTGTTGCGGCACTCAGCCAATTGTATTGTATTTTGCCAAGTGTTGAATATATATATATATATATATATATATATATATATATATATATATATACATGGTTGGCGGCATCCGGTTTCGGATTTGCCTGTCACTGTGGCCAGCCACAAGACGCCTGTGCCTACAGAGGGACCATGGGTGGCTTGCGCTGCACCACCCACAGCTCCAACCACACACCCCATATCCAGTGTAAACCCGAAGGAATAAGACCGGGAGGCATGCGGATGGGAACCACGTTTCATCAACGGAGCCGGCCCACACTCCTTCACAGGCAAACACAAGCACACTGTATTTGGGAATCAAGCGCACACAAGGCGGTGGCTGGACCGTAGTCCGCTCCACACTGACTGCATGGAACCACTCTTCGAGCCTAACACGACCACAAGGACCGTGCACCCGTCCCCTCTAGCAACGACCAACTGTCTCCTGGAGCCAGTATGGACGAGGTAGTGGGTAATAGACAGGTAGGCACCTTGTCAACATGCACATCAAGCGCAGCCACACCGGGGATATCAAGCAACAGCCAATCACCTGGAACGACAAGATGAAATAAAACAAAGCCAATAATGCATACAGATACGGTGGCATAACTCTAAGCTAAATAAGCATATGAAGAAAGTTGGTTAGCAATAAATCCGCGATAAAGAAAAAATGTCCACAAGTTAGTTAAAAATGCTACAAAACGCAACAGAGTTACCGAAGATTAGCGCAATTAATGTAAGCAACGTGGCCAGTTAATAGAAAAGTATTCAGGTAGGCAGAACAAACCAAATAAAGTGGAATGAAATTTAGCCAGCCTAAAATGACCTAGTTTAAGTGTAAGTTGGTTTAGCCCAACTGCGGTGAAGAAGCATCAAGAATGCAACATCAGCCTCAGCATGGGGCAATACATATATATATATATGTATATGTATATATATATAGTTAATTTCTTCATTTCTCTTTGCCACGTCATCCACTGCCTACCTCTCGTTTTCGCCGCACTTGGCGCAACCACGGCTTATAATGCATGCCGAAGAAGGCGGTGAACGGGCGTACGGAGTAAATGGCCTAGCTCTAGTAGGCGTTTAAGAATCAGCAAACATTTGAATGAGGCGTCAGGTTCCTTGCCAAACACCAACTACCGGACCTCAGCATTGCTGACCCGGTGTTCCCACCAGACGTAAGCAATATTCCACAAGCGCCGATGCTCAAACACGACCAAGCGTTTAATGTCTTCACTGCGAGCTGGCCACGTCTCGGATTCATACAATAACACAAGCCTTCTCGCCGCATTGTACACCCTACCTCACACGGACAAGCTGATATCCCGCCATCCCTATAGATGATTGGGCCTTTGGAAAGCCACACGAGCCTTGCTGATACGCAGAGTAACCCGCTCAATGATGTGGCCATCAGCGGTGACACAGCTACCAAGGTAAGTGAACCGATCCACCACTTCCGTTGACTGTTCGGTGGTAGTTAAAACTGGTGGCAGTGGCCCAGACTAAGAACGGGAGACTAGCGATGTTAGTTGAAAAGCCTGTGACAACGATTTACAGCCGGTTGGTTTTGTTGGCAAGTTTTTTCACTCTCTTCTCTCACCACAATGATTGTCTCAGATTTCACTCAATCAGTTGCATCGGGGTGAATCGGTGCGTTAAAATTTAAGCTGTCTGCAAACGTTTAAAGAAAGAGCCTTACAATTTGATCAAACATGCTAGTGTTTTTTCACGGTGTTACATAAATGCCAACCGGTTCGATTCTGCATTACTCGTTCATTGTTCTCACCAGATGCAATCGGTGATGTGTGTTGTTTCCAATTGTCTAATCACTTCAGGTACACATAATCCCAATGCAGGCGCACGAGAACTCATGGACCATATCTTACAGGTGTGCAACCCGATAGATACCAAGCGCAGTATTTCAGTTTCACGGCCTCATTTCAGGTCCAGTCCAAATGTCAGACCTTGATGTGTGGCATCCTCGCATTGTTTTTCACACTACCTCCATATCTTGCACTTTTGAGGGGTGGGATAATCCGTTCATCACGTTGCACCAACGGTCTCCCACACTTCTTGAACATTGGTCAACCTGATAGTGGTCAGCATGGTTATTCTGTCTCCTGAGCCGCGTTCGCTTCACATGATGTTAGAGAATCGCTTTTCGCCTCAGTCATGCGCACTCCTTTTGTCGTGTTCTCATCTTTGCCTCGTTTTCGCCTCTTTCTTCTCAGATATTGATTGGAGATCAGTTACCACTTCTCGTGTCAATTGGAATCGGGTCATCTATGGTGATGGTGAGTAAATGTTAAACTTAGTTACACGTATGGATGCACCTTCGTCTAAACTTCATACATGCAAGTGTTTGTTTGCGTTGTAAGCACTCCTCTCCAACTGCGCAGCGTTCGCGTTGTAGCACCTCTGTGTACCACAGTGCCTAATCAGACCTATTCTTTGACCCTCTCAAGACACTTGTTTACTCACTTCTTCCTGTCTGTGTACTAAATTCATTAATCCATGGCAACTGCAACCGATAACTGCACCGGTTTTGTACAGAACGCTCTTTCTGTTAATTTGTTTCATCTTGTCCACATTTGTTTACGAACACCTGCGCGATCATCCACCCTGCATCGATTACCCCACCATGTACCCAGTCCCCACGTTATGCTATTTTCTCTCGATAGATAACAGATAGATTTTTCTACATACTAACTGTCTGATCCCCTTCCACCTTCACGGATCGCTATTTATCCTGCTTGATGTTTGTTTAGACCTCCATATCTCTGCTTTACCGCGCGGACAAACGGTGACCACTGCTCATCACTCGCTCGCCAAGTTTTTACCAAACGCGCTTGGTCATCACAATGCGACTTGTGTCCTTGTTGTTACTTAAACACTCATCTAAATCAACTTCGGGTATTGACGACCATTCTCACCGTCGAAACGATTCGATGAAAATCAATACTCTTGAAGCGGAACCGGGCATCTTGATCCAGTGTTCTCGTTTCGCTGTTGTCACAGGACGTTGACGCCTCCCTTGTATCGGTCCAGGATTCTTTGCTCAACACAGAGGTATATTAGAGTGTCTTCAGAACCGTAGTTATCAACGCATCTGACCAACCAACTGATCTTATGCGTTGCCATAGTGCCATCGGTCTTATCGAAAACATCATACTGCGATGGTTCACTAGTCCTCCTGAGATTCGAATTTGTGAACTCAGGATGACTTCCGGTTCCGTAAACAATTGTATTGACCTCATGTGTTCATATCGTCATGTTCTTTATTACTGTCACACTGACAGTCAAACGTGTTCGGCTCTTTGCCTTAGAAACCACTTTTGTGTGACGTTTGACTTCGAGGGGTGTGCCAGAGATATTCCTTTCTATCATAAACCTATTTACATTCACTAAAACTGATGGTTTACCAAAAGTCCTTTACTGAATTCATCACGAAATGTGGTGCTAACACTGCCATACCTCACTATGTGATGTAAAAGACCACAGATAACTCCCTGTCATCTGGTTCTTTTAGACTGTCGACTGTGACTATCCATCAAACTTAGGACACGTTGGTGTTACGCAACAATGTACATGCCATCAAGATTTTGCTTACTCTTACAGGACTAGATTGTGCTTGTTAAGGTTGCAGCCAAACTAACCGTATAAAACTCATCGTTCGGAAAACTTGAATTCAGACAGCCCCACGAAACTGTGTTCAAAGTTTGTAACTGTGCACCATATTCTCATAGATCAATGAAACATGTGTTACCTTCGCACAGCAAAACATTGCTCTTTTCTCCTGGCCCACAAACACATGCAACATCTGTGAAATTTTCATTTCCTATGAAATCACACACGTTTCAATGATCCACTGTAACCTGTACTTTTGGCATTCAGCGGTAGACCTTTCTATGGGGGTCGGTAAGACCTGGGTGACTAAACTGCTTGCACACACGGCCGGAGTGAAGGCCAAACCATGTCGGTTAATCTACTGTGCAGGCACTGAAAGAGAAGCATTCTCCAAACCAGCTGCTGGTGCCACGTTGCTTGAGCACCTCATTACTCAACCACTCCATAACCGATCAGTGAACACTGTCTCCCCGAGGTTTTGAATGAAACCTGAGTGTACCATTATTCATTGACAGACAGAACTTTTTATCCACCACTTTTGTACACATGTAACTCACTGAAATCACTGTTGGCAACCTTGTGAGAATCAAAGCAAAGTCGAACCCTCTAGAGCTTCAGCCGGTTGGAAAGCTAAGTTCCACTAAATTCCTCCTTAAATAAAATACACGCGTGAGAGCTTACAGTGCCATGAGTTGTTGACGTTCTTCCATGTTTACATCAGCGATATTTGCAACACGAGTTGGCTTTGTTTTGTAATGTTCCTCTTTGTTCTAAGATCGGCGAACGAAACGGTCCATATTTTCCAGTTATCTTCGTTCTCCAATTCGTTCCCAATTTGGCAGAACTCTCGCAAACAGTTCTTCGCTTCTCACTGGTAACCTTTTCTCTAGGTAGTTGCCTTTTTGGCCTGTTCTCCTCACCTTTTGTTTGTGTTCCCCTGGATTTTCCCTTTTATATTGATTGGCTGCGTGTTGATGAGTATCTCTTTCGCCTCACGGTAATCGGGTCAGGGCTGCCTAGCTGCGCTCAACTCAACTGCACTGTGCTGCGGCGTGGTGCTTGGTTTCGTCACCTTATACTACCGCTCATAACAATTTGTGTGAGCCATGTTTCAGCGAAAAGTCTGCCCAGGTATCATATTCCTGCACACTCATCATCGTATGCTTCTCATAACTCCTTCGCTCCCTTCCGGCGATATACCATCAGTTTTTTGGCTCCCAACTGATCTTGATCTAGTTGGAGCTTTTTCACACTGGTCTTCTATGTCGGTCCGTGATTTGCTTTCTGTCAGCTATACTAGAGCAGTAACCGCCTAAATTTCGAATTTTTGGTAACTTTCCTATCTAAACTTACTCTACTTCGTCCTGAGCAACCGGGTAGTATCACGGCCACTGACCAGCCATGGATAAATTACACTACTCCTTTCCCTCTTGCTATGTCTACTGGCTTTACTGTCTCTGCTGCTCAACATCTGCTCACCGATCGTCTCACGTCCTGTTGCTCAACTGCACCTATGTCTTACCCCGTCACCGTCAACAACAGCTCACTGATCGCATCTGCCAGAGTTCTGAGCCAAACGTTTGGTGTTCGTTGCCCAGTGGTCACAGCATCCTCACACTCAACCGAAGCCCAAGCTTACCTTCGTCCTGGTACTCCATTCGGTCTTGCAGCGTTCAATGTGCGCACTCTGATGCAGATCGGAAGACAAGCATGCCTGGCCCGCACCCTCGAGACACTCTCGGTGGACATCTGTTGCCTTTCCGAAATCAGGTTGCAAGACACAGTCATCATCATCATCATACACGTTAGCTAGAGATGGGGAACACCTCAGCTACTGTGCCGCAATACATAGAAAAAAGGAGAAAAAATGCAACTGGTGCAAGCTGGCTGAGCTACCGGTAACGGATGAGCATCGTTCCGGTAAACTACCAGCCGGCTGCTGTGCACCAAAAGAAAAATAATTACTATGCAAAATTATATAAGGCTAAATAATGAGATCGTGGTTGGAGGGGGAGGCTAAGAGGGATGAGGTGGGACAAAGAAACTCACAGCACGAACGCCACTGAGGTCGGCTCCTAGCCATTTTAGCAAGTGTGTCCAACCAAACGTGTTCATCGTCTTTTGGACCCAACCAGGGAGCCGAGACGCTCCAACCGAGGTCAGCTCAGAAGTGAGGGCCTTCATTCCTCTGGAACAAGTCATCGCTTGGCCACCCCTCCTCTTCTTCCATCCACACCCCCGGCGCGCAAACAACACACGTCGCGGAAGTCGGTGGGCTGGCATGCGTAACACGTGGCCGAGCCATCGGAGCCTGATGCGTGAAATAACGGTGCTGAGCAGTTCAGTTCCTTTTCCTGTGCCATAAACAAGGCGTCGAACACGCTCGTTGCTCACGCGGTGTTCCCACCAAATGTGAGCTAAATTACGAAGGCACCCGTGGTCGAACGTAACTAGCCTCTTCAGGTCCGCTGCTTTAAGCGGCCAGGTTTCACAACCGTACAGTAGGGTCGAACGTACTGCTGCATCGTACACCCTACCCTTCAAGGCAAGAGTGATGTCGCGCCGGCGCCATAAGTGGCGAAGGTTAGCAAAAGCGCCCCGAGCTTTTGCTATACGATTCGTGATTTCATCTTCAATCCCACGGGCGGTGATACAACTTCCCAGGTAGTTGAATTTTTGAACGATTTCTAGCTGATCCCCACCAAGGGTGAGCGTAGGAGGCGGTCCAGACCAATCTTGGAGAAACGCTTTGCACTTCGAGGGTGCGAAGCAAAGCCCGAAGTGACGAACAGCTAGTGCTAATCTGTCCAGTGCCGCTTGGCACGTTTGTGAGCTGTCACAGATCAGGGCAATATCATCAGCATACTCTAAGTCAAGAAGTCGTTCTCCTGGGAGTAGCTCCACACCTTCAAAGTCGTGTCCTGTGAACGCGATTTCCATGACTTCGTCCACAGCGAAGTTGAAGAGGAAAGGTGACAGCAGGCATCCTTGTCTCACGCCGCTGGAGATATTAAAGGGCGACGACAACTTGCCGTAAGCCCTCACCCTGCACGAGCTACGCGTATATAATGCTCGGATAATATTCACATATTTCTCAGGTACACCTTTCCTGAGTAGACAGTCCCAAAGTGCATGTCTATCCACCGAATCGAATGCACCTTTGATATCGAGGAACACGACAACGTTGGGCCGACAATATGTGTGACGGTGCTCCAACAACTGACGCAAAGTGAAGATGTGGTCAATGCAGCCACGACCTCGACGAAATCCAGCTTGCTCTTCACGAATCTGGCTTTCACGAGTGCCAGTCAGTCTGTGAAGGATGACAGAGGCAAGCAATTTGGAGGCGATGGAGATCAGACTGATTCCTCTATGGCTGCCGCATTCCGCTCGTGAGCCTCCCTTGAAAATTGGGACTATGACGGAGCGGCTCCAATCGGTTGGGGCAGTTTCCTGCTCCCACAGTTTGACTAGTAACTCGTGTAAATCATCCACAAGAGCAGGTCACCCGAATTTGAAGAGGGCTGGAGGAAGGTCATCAGGTCCCGCGGCTTTATTTAACTTCAACAGTTTGGTCTCACGTTCGACTTCTGAGCGAGAGAGTGGAAGCAAAGCGAAAGCCCACGGAGCGGGGCGATCAGTGGCCGACGAGAAATCTAACAATTCC